CCTTAAAAAAATCTGGCGACGCCCGTGCATATTTTAAGCCAACATGTGTTGCCATTTTGGACCAAACCGTGATGCTGATATCATTCTAACATTACAATCTGCTATGGTTTAGGAGATTTCAGCAGGCAAAGGAAAATGAAGTGAAGGTGAAAGGAAAACTAACACACACTTTTTCATCAACTAGATTGAAATCCCCAGGCTCTTTGACCTTACACCCAATCGTTCATATGTCACAAACCATCCATACAGCGCAGGGCGCTAGGAAGGGCAAATACATAACGTATTTAACGTATTTTTTTGTCAAGAACTTATTGAATGGAGTCTATATTAACACCTGAACACGGGCCGACTCTTCCGGCTCCGTGCGCATGACACGTGTGCACATACTATATTGGTTTGAGCGTCCAGAGCTGTGAGGTATTTCATGCGTTTGTAAAAGTACTGTTTTTAATCTACCATTTTAAGTATAGAGATTACTATAGATTAATAAAATGGAAACTCACACCACAAAATAAGATTTCATTGTCTTTGTGTTGGAAAACAAGCTTTGTTGAAGTGTAACATCCATTAATTACCTTTTTAATTATACTTTTTAAACCCTACTTACAAAATATAAAAAATATAAATTTGTCATGTTTGTGTTTTGATAGCAAATACTGTTTGTATTTTATGTTTCTTAATCATTTTTGTTAATATTTTATGTGGTTTTGTTTAACGTGCTTTTTTTTCATTTTTACAGGAAGAGTGTTTTTTTATTTCTTTTAAATCAAATTAATTAATAAATTGTTTTAATGCAGGGCCCTAATGAAAATCAGCTTTGGCCGTTTAGGCTACCTGGGCAAATAAATAAACAAATAAATAAAAACTGTTACCTCGCCACGGCGTAAGTCACTGCTAAGAGTCTGCGGCGAGTTAGCAGAGAACAAAGAGGAACGGTCTAATGCGGTGGTCTTGTATGCAGATGAACAGTTACACATTACACTTTCAGGAAGTGTTTAGGTAGAAGCCAAAATGAAAAAGAGACCAAATATTTTGAGGATTTTGCAATTTATCAGGAAATAAACTTAAAACAATAATTGTTTTCACTAAAGATTCTAATATTTAATCTAACCTTTGCTGACAAGAACAGCGTCAATGCAGGTCAACTCGACTGAACCTAGAACCCATCGACTGCAGGTAGGTAAATCTCTGCAACGTTGTACAATCTGGTTTTCATGTAAGTGCAGGGAGTGAAAACAAACGTGCATGAACAAGGAGACCTAGGAACGATAATACCGAAAGTGAAAGGTCGTTAATAGAATTAGTTTTTGCCCTTCTCCAGATGACTTTTCCAAAATAATACTTGAGGAGCACAAATGGAAATTTCGACATCAGTGTTTCTTTTGGGTGGTTTAAGTTAAAAAATCATTCTTCCCAAAATTATTGAACATTATAGGACAGTCCCATTGAAAACCCCCATAGGAGGACCGCGCGAGGGTCTCGGAAGGTTGCTGCGCGACCTTCAGGGATGCACCGCAGCAAATAAATTCCCATATACAGCACTGACAAATCCCCATACTTCACAAATATTCTAAAAATACAACTCTCGCAGGTGTTCAGGCTGTACAGAAAAATGATGTTCGATATGTCCTCTTTCATTTTACTTTCAGTTTTAGTCGATTGACCAATGAATTTTTGAGAAATTCTCACCCAAAGCAGACCACCCCTAAAATTAAGAAAACTTCAATACCCAGAAAAGTAGCCATTTTGGAAATGCACCCCTCTGCAAAATGGCCCAAATAGTGCCACTTTCGGACCCGATTGCATCCAAATTGCTCACAATTGGAAGCCCTTGATCCGGCCCAGATGTTCAGTGTCATTTCTTCAATTCCCCAGTTCCTTGGCTCTCAGAACCCTCAAATAAAGAATATTTTGAGTGTATAACTTTTGTTTATGAGTTCAGCGGACATATTTCTGGTCCATATACGTGGGTGCACCCTCGGGCTCTTCCACCTAGAGCAGAAGCACCCCCTCATTCGGGTTGAAAAGAGCCATGTTGGTTGGGAGTGTTTTGCTGGTAGCGATGCGACCGTGACGCGTATTGCTTAGTCGTTCGTGAACCAGTGAAGTTCAGTTCTGACCAAAGGATCCTCCATTTCCAAGAAATCTGCGCCCTCCTTGGTTTTGCTCGAGGCTCGTTGATGTGAGTGATCTAATGTGGAAAACTAATGCAATCAATAACAGGTTCATAAGAGTTTGTGCCAAGTTTCATCTTTGGTTATTTCACAATTAACAGGTTATATTTTGTCAGTCCGCTCAGAGACCGCCATAATGTTCATCCTTGGCGGGTTTACGGTACTCAATCCCCCCCTGCCAAGTCTACTGCAGTGCAGACCGGATCAGTTCCCTGCTAAATTATTACGCACAAGAATTTCCGTATGAGCTATGTTTTCCATCGTGTGACATTCTTAATACTAATAGCCTATTTCGAAATCGAAACCTCCAAATACATCGACAAAGTAAGACCATTGTCAATCACATCTATCTTTGCAAATATTGCTGAAGGCTTAATTACGGATTGGGTTCTTAAAGACCAATCACATTGGTAGTGCACAACTTCAATGTTATGAAATTTAGTTATATTTATAACAATCTAGTTAGGTAAAAACTAAATAAAGATTGCTTCTGACGTCAAAAGCACGAGTTGAATTCATCATATAAATTATGTGGTGGTTTTAGTCCTATAGGTTTCGCAATGGCCAAAACATGGAAACCGAAGACATTTTGCAAGAATTGTTGGCCGATAGCGACTCAACCATGTCATCCTCCGATGCCAGCGATGCCAGCGATGCCAGTGGTATGGACGACGGTGAAGATGATTTCTCGGCAGCAGCAAAGCCCGATTATCGGCGTGGGTGGAGCAAAGCTGGACCTTCATGGCGGAAACATGGGACAAAACAGCACCCGAACTGGTGAGCAGTCTGATGAAGATGTTGTCCGTTTCCAGAATTTCCGACCTCAGTGTTCGAAGCAATGCATAGTGAGCTTCTGGTGCAGTTCATGGATGTCGGAAATCCCCCCAAAGAACCCCCCCTTATAACCCCCCCCCAAGAAACCAGTTATTAATCACTAGGAGTACCTTTTTGACGTTTGCAAAGCATTATGGGTTTTGGATGATAAGAAGGAGCCCAGCCCTATGGGAGAAGTGTACCTGCAAAACGTCAATTTATTTCCATTTTGTTCCAGACTCCAATTCATGCCATCCTCCTCTAACAGCGTTGCATTATTGATTTGGGATGCAGATATTCATAAACTTCACAGTTAGCAGAAAAGACAAGTTTGGAAAATCCTTCCAACCACACAAGTTTTTGTCATGGACTATGCTTTGACTAAGTATGTGAATATTAATGCTGCAGTACTGTCAAATTGAAATCATGACTTGTAGCTCATTCATCCGGCGTTGACCAGTCACGTTTAATTTCAGCCTGTATAGTGACTGGTATGCTAACAAATACAATTAAGGGTGATTTCGTCTTCATACTAACATGTTAAAAATAGTTGATTTTTGAAAACTGTTTCTTGTATAATACGCATCTAATGATCAGCCAGAATAATCCGGGTGATTGTCAGGCAGCAGTAGGTACTACCGTAATGCCATACATGTTCCTTAGCAACCTAATGGGTTTTCCTTGTTTCTCTCACGGGCCACACTGGGGCATCACATTCTGAAGAATGGCTAGACTTCCAGTTATTTTTCTCGCAAGTAGTGTTAGAGCTACTGGTCACTGAAAACCAATCGCTACGCTGAGCAGGCTGAGCATTCTCGCGGTGGAACTGAACTCCTATAATGACAATTTTTTTAGAAATGCGAAGAGAAGGTGCCACGTTAGTCACGATATGGGTAAACATGGCCAATTCAATAACCATTTTACGTCAAAGCAATGTGATTGATCTCCAAGGAAATCAGTAATGAGGTTGACCTCCATCAATTTGGCATGGTTAAACATCATCTGGTCATCCTGGTTCGTCATCTTCTTCATGGTGCGGCGAAAACTCGCAACCTCGGGAAGATGGTCCCAACGGATTTTTTGATCTTGTTGATCATACAATACTTATCAAGAAGATGACTGCAATGGGGGTCCGTGGGGCCGTTGTCCTGTGGATTTTTTATTTTCTTCATGACAGAAAGCAGTGTGTTTGTTATAACTATGTGCTGTCTGACTATGGTTATCTCAAAGGGGGATGAAGGCACAAACTATACTGATCAGTGACGCTGCACAAGATTCTCACTCAGTTATACAGGGAGTATGTGGATGTCATAAGCATATCCGGAGAGTCTTACATTCACGCACCAAATAAATGGTGTGACTGCAAAGCTTAATTTTACACTGAGTGTCAGGCCATTTGAGTGTGCTTTAGTAAATCTGTCCCCTGCGAGCCAGGAGACGGCAAACGCCGCAGCTTAAGTGAACTTGTGCTTGAAAACAACGTTTTCTGGCATACATGCAAACTTTACTACCCGTCAGAGAGTTGACATTAAGCAGGTTCAAAAGAGAGTTTGTGAAATTGTTTTGAACACTCTTATTGTCATAACGATGCCCTCACAACTCTTGGTCATGAAACAGTCGTCAGTAGGAGGGAAAACCATTGTCTCAACTTGATGAAAAAGATTCCGTGTAACTTTCGTACTAAGTCACCCTTTCCTCCCTCCGGATTCGAAAGCCATAGGACACACCTACAAAATGGCAACAGTAGCTCTGTCTTCCGGATGGAAACTAGTTGTTTAAGAAATAGTCCCATTCCATTAATTTATTAACTTATCTTTTCAATTGTTAAGTTTTCTGAGTTATCATTTTACAAATACCTGCAATTATGCGGTTTTATGGTACAGCGGATGTCCTTTTTAGTTTTTCCTTGGTTACATTTGTATTTGCATTCATTTGTATGTGTAGTCTTTCTTCGTGCGTCGTTTGGTGCTTAAACTAGTCTCCTCCTGCTCCTCGCTCTTGAACGACCATCCATTTCGCCGCGGGTGCCTTGATCAAAGGCTACTTCATATTTTATTTAGTCGCTTACACATTAAGAATCATTTTCATTCCAAATGCTGGTGTACGTGACTTTCGACTAAAAACAAAGCTTGTTTTACTGGACCTGTATAGCAGTGTTGTGCGGTGTGCTTCTTTTTGAGGTGTAATCTTTTCACAAAAATGTCTTCTCTGTTTGACATCTAGTATAAAGTTAATTAAGGTTAACTTGTCGTACTAAGATAATCATTTCAAATGCGCCTAAATGGCGGAGGTTATAAAGTGCAACAATGCTACAAATTTACAATGGATGCATGTTTCGAAAAAAAGCCTCTGCAAGGCCTTTTAAAAATCAAGTGTAAGCCCACAAACTTCGTTAAATTTATCAAGATTAATGAAGGCGAAAAGTCCTTTAAGAATAAATTTTGCATTACAGTAAAAACCAACGCCCATTTTGAACGCGTCTTTGCGTTAATTACAAACGTGTACGGTGAAGGTAACCACCCGATACACGTCTTTATGTTTCCTTTTTTTAACACTCAAACATGTCTTTTGTCTAAATTTATAACTTCCTCGATACACCATAACGTGTTTACCTTTACCACAACGATTTCATAAAGTGTTACCGGAGAAACGTTGAAAAGGCGTAAAAACATTAACACTTGGTGGGTCGGCAGAGCGTAGGCCTGGAATTATGCAATTTCGAATATAGAAATCATAGCTCAAATTCGAAGTCGAGGCCAGATCCCTTCATCTTTTCTGCGTAAATCATGTCAAAGAGGGCACTCTGCTCGAGAGTGAAGACTTCCTTCCAACTCCCAACTTTACCTGTTGGGATACAAGTAAATATATATATATATATATCAATCGAAAAAAGACGTCGCACAGAATAAGACAAAAATCTATCATCTTTTATTTAATCACACAGTTACGGTCTGTAATACACCAACCATACTTGAGCCAAAGAAAAAAATCACATAATGTATGTTACATTTCTCGGCCATATATTTCTTGAAATTTTATTACTATTTAACTTGTTTTGTAAAAAACTAGCTGAAGCTACAACCCAGACCTATGACTTTGTCCATCAAAGCCATCTCATGTCCACTTTTAACAATTCCGTAACCACACTGTTCAACATTCCCCAGATTACGTAGTCTTATTACAACCTCACCTTTCCTCAAATATGGTGCCATGCCAAACATGTGGGTCAACTGTTTTCCCTTCTCACCATGGACATCTTCGAGATTTTTGTAGGTTTTCTGCATTCCGCCAAACGTAACTCGCTCCGCTATGCTATCGATGACGTCATCAGAAAATGTTTTACCCAAGTGAGAGGCAATTTTGCGAACGTTTCCCTTCAGGTCCTGCGGAAATAAAATGATATCACATCAAACCACGAAATAGTAGTCAACAGTGGCGTTAACAGACTGTTTTATACAGGAGCCAACAATTAGTATTTGGTGGCCCACACGCCAGTTATTTTTTCTTCTCCCTCCAGGGCCAAATTTAGAGCATTTATTCGAGCTGGGGTTCCCCCAGTGGCCTGAACATAATTTTCAGGCAGGTGCCTTCACAGGAAAAGCCACCCCCCCCCGCACACACACACCCAAGTGCGTAAACGCCTTCAATCGTGGACTCCCAATTGTTGAGTCCTCTTTTGTTCATACTTAAAACTTTTTTCGGAAGACCTCCCATATGTTTTGTACACGTTTTCCAACCCTGGACTCTTCGGCAACCGTGGACCCTATTGTCCCCTATTGTTATAGGTCCACGATTGAAGGCGTTTACACACACACACCCCCAAGTGTGCATTTGCCCGCAACTGGGGACCCCCTATTGTTCCTCTTTTGTTTGTACTTTAACTTTTTTAGAAGACCTCCCATATGTTTTGTACGCAGTTGTCAATCGGGGACCCTCTGTCAATCGGGGACCTTATTGTCCTCTATTGTTCTGGGTCCCCAATTGAATGCAGAAAGAGACTCACACAGAGATACCTGTTTTACATACAAATTGTGGACTTTCCTTTGTTCTCCTATGGTTAAAAAAACTTGAGGAAAATGCTCCTTTTTCTCTAACTGGGATAACTCCTTCGAGCTGGATATTTGATGGTGATTCCCTGGACTGTTCCTCTTCATTTTGCCACGGATAACCTTGACCCCAAAATGCCTCTGAAACTGTTTTTCAGATTTCAGATGTCACATTTTGTGGACATATGCGAGTCCACACTACGCCATTATGTGGACTTCTTTTGTGCAGAGGTCCACACTACGCCATTATGTGGACTTCTTTTGTGCAGAGGTCCACACTATATTTGTATGGCACGCCTGTACAAAACGGTCTGGGGGGAAGAATCTCTTCGGGAAACGTGTCCTCATGGAAGGAGGGAGGTTCTTTACCCAAAGGGAATTTATCCCCTCCCCTTAATGTCATTGAAAAACCGATCTAATCTTTATAAGTGGTTCCAGTTTTTATCATAATGTGGTACTCGTAATGTTTCTTATCCAACAGATGCCATTTATCTTTTATTTTATTTTCTCTTGTCTCCACTTGGGCGAGTTATACCTGCTGGGTGCATGATAGGTGCGCAGGAATACCAATCGTAGTAATACTATGTGCATTTATACGCCGTCCTAATCTTAAGCTGTTACCACGGCTCAAGAAACTACTTTAGCTGTAGATGCAAAGAACATTAAACAACACTCAACCAAAACGCTTGGCAGCTACTTAAAACAAGCGGGGAACTAATAAGAGACAGCAGTTGGGGATTCTCCATTGGAGGCCCACATCTCTATTGCGCAAGGCAAACAAAAAATTAAGGCAATCTGTCTGAAGAGCCACATTATCTGCGACAAACCAGACATTTTAAATTGCCCCAGGGACAACACCTCTTGGGAACAAAATATCTGTCCACATCACAACTTTTTATCCAGTGGAGATAATTATAAATTTGACTTCGGACCAGTACAGTAGATTTTAAGGAACTCCTGAGCTCTACAGTTGAGATAATATACTCCCATTACATGTATAGGTTTTTTCTAAATAAATGGAGGTTTAAAAAACAAATTCTTGCTATCCGGCTGCCGTAGTTTTACGAACAAATCGTTTTTAGAAAGCAAGAAAAAAAAAGAAAAGAAAAAAGAATAAATAAATAAATAGAACTGAATTGAAATTAGTAAATAAAAAAAAATCCTATTCTGCCCCTCACTGACACCACACTGAGACTCAATTGAACAGAGCATTGTTGTGCAACGAGTTTTGCGATTACCTTGTGAAGATCTTCATATTTGACGAACAATATATTCTTTTCATCCCGTTGTTCCCAGTATCTCAGTACGTGATCAAACCAGGACCCACCAATCACTGGAAGATGAAAAGAGACATTTTGATAGATAAGACAGCTAAGAAATAAATTTTGCAGTTTTGCAGTACTGTCGATGTTGTTTTGGACAGTATAGCTGAAGACAAATTCTTTGCATAGCAAGTATGAACCAACAATCCGACATTAAAGATTAGCCACATTGCTTTCATGCAAAATGGTTATTAAACAAGCAATTGGTCATTATCACTCATATAATGACTATGAACGTGGCAAATTCTCTTCGTATTATAAGAAATTGTCATTTTTGGAGTTCAGTTCCACAGCGAGAATGCTTAGAGTAAAAAAATGCTTCGATGAGAGCGGCAAACAAATCTAGCGATTTGATGATGTGACAACACGGCTCCCGTTTCACCCAGAGTCTCTTGACCTTGCGGCCATAACACGGGCTTTGTACGATGTCATTCTTGGAAAATGACTGTTGCCATCTGCCTGAAATTCATCAAGACCTAACTCCGGTTCAAATTGGGACGGTTCAACTTTATCAAAATACGATCCATACAATCATGCGACCTTGACTTGTTTGATCAACATAGATCAACATGTAACATGGATGGCATGGCAGGCTTCCAGAGCTCCCTAGTTATCAGATGTCAAGTCGAAATTAGGCAAAAATGGTGAAACTTACTTTGTCCTGTAACAAGCATAAACAGAAATCTCTCCCACGTCTGAAGCGAAGGCGTTACAAATGGTTTGATAAAGGTGAAGTAGGAAACCAGTAAGTCTTTGGGGTTCCGAGCCAAGTAAATCACCTTTGAAAAAAGAAAAATCTATTTAAGTGATCAAAGCCATTTACTATGGTAGTGCATCGCCCGTGGTGCGTCGCCCGTGGTGCATCGCCCATCAAATTGGTTTGCACAGGGCCTGCAAAAGCCGGGGTTTAACATATGACAATGTGACGATTCAGTTCACTTTTAAGGATCTTTTCCTAATAGGGAAGTACAAATCCCACCTACAAAGCATATATTAGTCCAATAATTAATGTCAATAATGCTATACTACCCCTAATTTGCATACTGTAAAAATGTGCCAACTTGTTTTCATCAAATTCTAGAAAGAAATCTGCCAACCGATACAGATATTCCATTTTGTCCTCTCAATTTCACCTTGAAATCCAGAAATACTAGATGTGTTGTGGATAACAAACTGTTTATTAAATGAATTGTTAGGGAGCAATTACCACTTGGTTTAAGTTTCAGAAAATGTGATTTGGCTTGACTCAAGTCACTGCGAGCAAATGGCTTGACCCCACTCGACTTTTTACCTGATTACTTGACTCGAGTCACTACGTTACAGTGACTCAACTCGAGTCACAGAAATTTCTGACTTATTACAAACCTGTTGTTTGCTTGCTTGTTTGTTTTTGTTCTTTTTATTATGAAGAACCATCTTTTATGTTTATTTTGTGTTTGCGTTTCAGATGAGTTTCATCTTAGGTTCCTAAGTGTACGAGTAGGTACATACACTTAGTGTTGGTCACTGTAAATTATGGAATTCCATATCTGCCGTCGTACGTCGCCCGTCGCCTGTCGTGCGTCGCCCGTCGTGCGTCGCCCGTCGTCCGTTTTTTTGTCTTGATTGCGCAGAGGTATTTTTAACTTTGAACCTTGATCGTTTCACATTTCCATGTAGTTGTTCCATCGATCCATCGTGCCAGACTCTCATTTTAGCAATAGAACTAGAAAATGTATTCGTTTTTGCAGTTGCGCCGAATACCACTTGAAAGAAAAAAATAATATCCTTTCATTTTTAAAGACTGACATCGGTAAAGTAACGTGTATACGGAATAATACCATTTTTGTTCACTTTACTCGCGGCCTGACGTTAGGTCTATAGCCTATGTAATATTTCTGTCTGTCCCTGCACGATATCCCACAGAACTGAATGTAAATGATAAATTATTTACAATGCTTGATTCCTTAATAGTTTTTATAATAGACGAACTAATTCAACATTATTTTGAGGGCGGGTATACCTATGATGAAATCTGCTGTATACTCCTAATTAGACTTGACTTGAGTTGAGTTGCAGGTAGGCTGTCAGAAGTCTTACTTGTTAGCCCCATAAATAATGCTGACGTGCTGAACAACCTGTTCTCATTGGTCTATCCACCACAGCATACACACCCACAAAAACCAACACGTCACATTTTCTGAAACTTAAACCAAGTGGTAATTGCTCCCTAACAATACATTTAATAAACAGTTTGTTATCCACAGCACATCTAGTATTTCTGTATTTCAAGGTGAAATTGAGAGGACAAAATGGAATATCTGTATCCGTTGGCAGATTTCTTTCTAGAATTGATGAAAACAAGTCGGCACATTTTTACAGTATGCAAATTAAAATTAGACTGTGGATAAATTGGCCTGAACATTTTTGCTGAAAATGTTTAAAAAAAACATTTGGTTGAATTCTCTGAAAGGCGATATTTTCTTGTCAAGGGACAGGGGTAGTCTAGCATTATTGGCATTAATTATGGGACTAGTATATGCTTTGCAGGTGGGATTTGTACTTGCCTTATTGGGAAAAGATCCCTAGAAGTGAATGGAATCATCACATTGTCATTTGTAAAACCCCGGCTTTTGCTGGTTCCTAGCAACCCATTTGATGGGTGATGCACGACAGGCGACGCACGACGGGTGACGGAAAACGGCGTGTTTGGAACTGGTAAATGGCAGAATTGGGACACAACAAAAAGCAAAAGACGACGGGCGACGGCAGATATGGAATTCCATAATTCCCCCTCCCATTATGGCGGATTGTGAAGAATTTCTTGCAATTCCCAAGAACCGATATGTGTTCAACAGCACTCAGAAAGGGAGAACAACTTTTCAAAGCCATATATGCCGCTGTGATGTAATGCTATTGTTGTGAAACATTCTTCACGTTTTGTTGAATACACCAGCTTCGTGGAATTTCCTATTATTTGTTAGATTACGTAATAATGTCTTTATATCCATCCACGTTGCTGTGCTCGGCGTAGTTGGTCCGAGGGAACCGCCGACAGCGCCCACCAAGTACGATTCATTTCTGTATTATGTTCTTCAAAATGTGAGTTTTGGAGTTAATAAATTATTTAGAGCAGAGTACAGTTCTCGTCGTTTCTTCTTTGGTGTTGCTTTCTCATGATCCCGGGACCTTAATGTGAATGACACAACAAATGTTGGAAGATCCGGGTGCCTCTCACATGCCAAGCGAGTACAGTGATCGGTAAAACAAAGTACATTATCGATTGCCAGAATTTGTCATCGGCAACAGACCTATAATATCCACACTGACTCTTTCAAACGCACCAGGAATTTCCATAGTCTCTAGTGGAGCCACTTTTTGTGTCTGTGCGTTTTTCTCTGTGAACACGACTGACATGAATACAGTTATTTATATCACGGTACATGCCCTTCCAAAAATAACGCTGACGGATCTTATGATATGTTTTTGTAACCCAAAATGTGCAGCTAAGACGTGAAGTTAATGTGCACTGCCAAGAATATATTGCTATGTGGCCTGGTGAGTACTTTCTCAGTACTCACACTCATTGGTAACACAGATGAGATCCTGCAAATTACGACCGAACACCACTCTGTACAGTTCAAGACTTACTGTCACCGGGATGCAGCATCACCCAACCAACCCATGATCTCAATTTTCCTGGATGACAATTCAACATACCTGCACTATTGTACAAAGTTTCACCACAATTCATTCAGCGCAGTTTCAGTTGAAAACTCTAATCCCACTTGACCAACCTGCTTTAGCGGCAGCATACTCTAATTTGAATTTGGTTCTGAATGAACAGACCACTCGGCGGATATTCTACTTTGCTGGCAGTTAAATAAATTGATAACCTTTACTTGCAATAACTTTATGTTGCACCTTTTGAGAACACTTTCCCAAGAACATTCTACTTTTTGTTTCTCAATGTACACTGTGGGGGCGTATGTTTTTGAATTCATGTAGTATGTTACCGGCGTCACTAGAGGTATTATAAAATAAAAAGAGGTCTGAATAATAAGCATTACAATTATAAGTAATTAATTGACCAGCTTCGGTGTCCAGCCAGCATCTGGAGGAAAGCCGCCTTGGGAGTTGTAGCCAAACTCTACCTCCAGACGAATCTTTGCGCGCGAAGTCTGCTGAGTAAACTACTAATTGACGTCAAACTGGACAAAATCACTGGAATTTATTTTAGATTAGTTTTTTGGTGTAACTTCTTTATCAATTGGCAGGTGCCGATTTTATTAAGTGGGGGCGTATGTTGTGAAACATTCTTCACGTTTTGTTGAATACACCTGCTAGGTAGAATTTCCTATTTATTTGTTAATTACATTACGTAATAATGTCTTTATATTCCGGCCACGTTGCTGTGCTCGGCGTAGTGTGATCTATGATATGTATCATGAACATATCGCCCCATTGTCATGTGGTGTCAGCACCTGCCCCTTTCAAATTCCCATGGCCAGGCAAGACCCCCTCCCCAACACACCCATTCCCACATACCCCATCCCCCAGTTTGCACAAATTCACGCCACATGGTCTCAGAACATGGTCTCAGATTTTGCGCGTCCCAGGTCCATTTTAATACGTGTATTATCAAGTTCGACAATACTGCACAAGCTCATGTGTTGACACGATTTAGTAAAAGGCCAATTTACCTTAGGTTTTTTCTCCCAGACTTGCGGAGGTAACAGGTTGGGTAAGCAGTGAGTAGCCATTATCCGGGGTGGTTTCATAGTTTCCAGAATCTTGTAGCCTGGAGTGCCACTGGCAACTTTCGATGGGTCGGGTTCCATGGTAGTCTCGAGCACAGCGGACATGTTGGTACGGTCAAAATCGTCCCGGCCATCGTTCATGACGTAGTCGATTATCTCCCCAAGCCAATGTGTTCCTGTTGAAAAGAATAAGGGTTCGGACCTGTGTAGGATTTACCCTATACATGTATTTAAGGGCATCTTTGAATTAACCTTTAGAAACAAATTGGGACTATAAAAGCAAAGTGAGTGAATAAGCACGACATTAAAAACCAAGCAGATGCTAGCAGCATCCGTATCCAAATGTTATAATATTTGGGGGCGGTCAGGAAAAAACCTGCCTTTTCGTTTATTCTAACCATTACCAAGTGTGTAAGTGGTGATTGAAATGGTTGATCCCCTGGTCAAAAGGTGATGAGGAAATTTATCCTCCTCATCCTTGGTCAAAGGTGAGGAATATGCCTTTGCCTTTCGTCCCATAGGTGCCACTGGTTTGTATTTGGTCGCGGGAAAAATTCGCATCATGTCATGATTAAATGTCGCTGTAGATATTCCTAAACTACTGAACACAAGTTTCCCAACATTCCTTGTAGCACGTACCGGCACAAACTATATAATTTCCAGTCATTTTTAGTTCATTAGTTTAGTTTAATTATTTCAGGGTAAATAGTGGGTAAATGCAAAAAAACAACTACTGGGCAAAACAGTTTTCTACATCGCATTAACCGCATCCACGCACCCACAAGGCTAAATCCAGAACAAAAGTTTCGCGCAAACCGCTAAAAGGTAAAACTTGTTTGGGGACAAAAATTGGAGAATTTCTCAATGTCACACATTCTGGCTTTTCTGACAGGTGAGGCTAAATTTGGGGGGTTTCATAGGCTTTTTTTGGGGGGGGGTACCGTCCTAAATCCCCCACCCCATATCCATCAGTGACCCCACATCTATCCAAAGACCTGAGGCTCGTCGTTCCGCCCTCCAAGTTTTACATCGATGTCTCACCTGATTTGGGGAATGTTATCACGAAGATGTCGTCGTCCCGGACTTGGAAGTTTTTGAGTGCATCGAAGTTCTCTTTTGGCATGAGCCAGGAGTAGTTATTGCCCTCTAACTCGTGGCCATAGTTTGTATTGAACTCACGAATTTCCTGCAGCAGTTCACTGTGAGTTTTGCCGTTGATGATGGCAGGAAAAAACGACAGCAACGGATTTTCAGTCATGGTCTTGAAATTGAAAAAAAAAACAAGGAGGGAAACACTCTGAGTTGGGAAAATGGCTACTAGCCGGGGAAGGTACACTCACTGAATGAATGATCACGAGGCGTTCACCAATACGATCGCTTGGCTTCATTATGTACGCGTATTTAATCAGCGTTTATTATCTACTGTAAGCAAAATCTAAGCTGGATTAAACGATAGTCATCAACGGAATGTATTCTGGCATTTATACCGGGGATCCAGCGTTGCAAAGTGTAGAAGATTACGTAATGGTAACCACTTATAGTAACAAATCAAAGGCCAAGTATATTTAACCTTATTGAAGAGATAAAGTGTCAATTGTTCTCCTGGCAACGACCTTGTCAAAAGTGTCTAATAATTTCAACACACTGAATACCTTCTCCACCTTCTAACAAGGGGGTGGGGGCGGAATCATCACTTCCGTTTTTGCAGTGAGACCCTTTTTGTAAAGTACCGCTTTCCAGTCATCTGAATGTGACTTTTATGAGGATTAAAAAGGCGTAGTTTTAACATTCACACTTATATAATTTCTAAAATTTAAGTGTAATATATTTTCACGCCTAAATCTATTATTATTGATTTATTTATTACTAAATCACACCTAAAAAAATAATCATGAAGCCCACAGGCATTTTGAAAAGTAATTGCCTACACCCCATAGCAAAATAGACTTTTGTTAAGGAAGTGATTAATCCAAAATTCACTCAAACACAAGCTGACATTCCTGTGGCTAGCCTCCACCTTTCTTCCCGTGCAAATCTTCAAGTTTATGACTCGGATAATGCTCAGATAACACAGAATGTGACAGCCTACAAATTGTGATTTGTAGCCTATTGACTGGCCTGCAACCTTAATGAAACGGAAAACTCCCTCTGTGAACAGCTCTGCCTACTGCCATTTAAGGGGGCCATCAGGAGTGTTCAGTGAAACGTTAGTGGGTTTGTCTATGGCACAGTATTGCACGTGCATCGTTGGCGTGTGTAAGGCGCCCTTTTTGGCTTTAATAGTGCAAAAAAATCAAACAAAACTAATAAATGTAGGACGACAGTGAAGTAAATTTCAAACGAAACAAATATATAAAGGACGAAAGAAGTGTTTAAAGGACGAAACTAATACATAAAGTACTAAACCAATCTATATATAGGACAAAAGTACATTTAAAGGACAATGGTGATTTATGAACGACGAAAACTAATAAATATACGACAAAACTCATATAAATGACGAAACTAATAAATAGAGAACGAAAAGAATACATAGGACAAAACCAATATACAAGGACGTAACTAATATATGTAGGACGAATCTAGGACCAAACTAATGAATAGAATGAAGTGCCGCCACCTCGATGCCAGACCAGTTGTGATATAGACCAAAATGTAAAATATATAGAACAAAAACGCAAAATTATATAAAACGAAAACGTAAAAAGACGAAGCGCCATCTACCGACTGGTCGTTCCGCATGCGCGCAAAGCCAGACATAGACTTGATTCAAGTCGGGATCTCTGTGAATTCGGTTATGCTTTGCATACATATCGAGACCGTACCGCGCGGCATTGTTTGCTTCGCGCCCTCTTGTGTTCACTTATTACTGTGAGTTCGGTCCAGAAATCCTGACTTGACGAACCTGCCAACCGTTTGTACACAGCGAATGGGATCATCTACCAAAAGTGGTAGCAGCCAATCAGAGTGCCGGACTTATTTTTACTTCGTTCAAACCTGCATTGCAATGAACCAGTCTAAAAGTCTGACTTCTTTGATTAATGCAAATTTCGTATGCATCAAGCAAGATCATGTTCATATGCAATTGTGAATTACTAAATATCACCGACGGTGGGTCCGATTGGCATATCCGTCAAGTCGGACTCACTGGGTACGTTCGAGCGAGCTACTTGCAACAACACAGAGCCTGCAGAGTGGCGGTCAGTGAGTATGTCGCCTTTACTTGCCGGCCTGGCAGTTTCCCTGGTTGCTGGCATTAAAGGAACAGGGTTGGGTGCACTTGTGGGCCCCGTCACCAAACTTGGCATGATACCAGCACACGTTGGCGTCATCTCGAGGAGTTGGAGTGCTGGCACGGGGTCGACGACTGCGAGAGTGAGAACAGGAGCGTTGAGGATTGGTCTAGAGTTTCTGGACTTGAGTGGTTAGGCTCCCACTCTACTTCTCCGAAAAAATGTACACGGGATCTAAATTCAAGTGTTCCTATATTTACAAGGGGGGAAACGCTACAATTTCTATGCTTATGAATAGTGAGGAATATCATGAACGCTTTAATGAGAAAATATCATACAAGAAGGAAACCATGCATGTGGATAAGAACGGAAACTTTTGATTGGGCCTTTAGTTGGGCAATTTGACGTTGTTGTACTTATTAATGCAATGCAGTAAAAGTCAACTCGTACCGAAACGCACTTGTACGTATCCAGGTGTTGTGTGCGTGAACGTGTATGCCATGCCCAAAATCCATACTCGTTTTTGACCTCTGTCGGTCATGTCGGTATGGTGTACTATTTACGACACACATTTCTCTCTCTCCCTAACCTCCCTCCAAGGGACGCAACTACACAACGCGACGGCACGAAGGGTCCCTTGCGTCGTGCCGTCGAGTCGCACCGTCGCCTGCTTGCCATTACGTTTGTACACACACGACGCGTCGCGTCGTGCCGTCGCCCGTCGCGTCGTGCAGTCTCATTTATTTTCCATGTTGCATTTTTTCCCACCTAAACGTCGCATCGGACTCAGTGCGGAAATTTGGATCTGCATGAAAAATGAACCGCATTTCAGACAAATGGCTCTCTTGAAAAAAAATGAGCTGATAGATACAAAAAAATTTCAGTCTTCCAGACAGTATCACCGATGATCTGAGGGGAATTCGACGAAAGTGTGAAAATCGGGCACTAAGTAAGGTGAAAACACTTGGCAATTCATTCACACACGAGGTTTTCAAGGGAAATGGCTGTACAATCCCTCACATGGGTCACCACCGATATACATAGTCTGCTAGAATAATTTTTCAGGCTTACGACCATTATGTCACTATTGCGCATGCGCAATATACAAACTGAATGCACGCACAGCCTATCCGGGTCGTAAGTGATTTCGTCACAAAGGCTGACGCGCCACGGTTTGCAGGCTCTCATTGGACGATCGCTGAAGTTGCGCGTTATAACTTCCAGTTCCATGGTTCCACGTGGCAATCAATGCATGTAACCCTTTGTGCAGTGCACATGTGCAGTGGGCGTAGTTTAAACTGAAGTGACGTCACACTTACGAACCGGATGGGGACCAAACATACAAGTACGTGACGTCAGCTCAGAATCGCTCCTTAGAGCGATTTTGACGGCCGAATGCAATAAACACGTGTGTTATGTTAATAGAGTGGATTTTTATGTTTTTGAAAAGGAAACGCATTGTTTACAAATGCAACGCACCAGAAAACGTACATGTGGAAAGACGCCTTTACACGGACACTTGGTGCCCCTGCGCACAAACCTATATGAGACTTATCTGAAAAAAACACCACACTTTACTTGTCCTAAAGATTCATCGAAACGAGTGGAGCTGTCATCCTGAACCATATTTGTTCTTAAACTCGTTGAATTGAACAAAGTGATTTGGAATGCAGGAAAGTGTATAGAAGATTTTCAAATCTTCTTGGGAAAGGTATTCCCCAGATCTTTAGAGCGGGATACGCCTTCATTCAAACATCTTCCTCCCCCGTCTCCTGCAAGCCACGTCCGGTTGAGGACCCACTATTAACAGAAACAGTGTTCAATTTTAGAACAGTTAAGCCCTTTATCTCTTTATAAATTATCAAGTGATGTAACTCAACGATAACAATATAATACTCCATCGTTAGCGAAGCCCAAGATATTGCGGCGTCTTCTTGTATAACAGCGCATTACAAAAATTGTGGTGTGTAGGAAAGATGAACGGATTGATATAGTTGAAAAATTCTCCCCAGAAAGTACCACTTGTAATTCTTGTGTGCTGCTGAATGGTGACATTATCCAGGACCTCTCGATGGCTGCTGTGAGCAACGTGGAATGCTTCAGGTAAGAAACAAACATGTAATGCAGGTGACCAGATTACAAATTAGATGAGGAAGCGCACAAGGGCCCAAACCAAAAACAATTGTTTGGAACTTGGAGCCTGGCTCTTCGGGGGGGGTTGCTCTCTGTGGCTCCTTTACGGCCATGCCAGTGAGTTTGTATAATAGACGGCCCTTTTATAACCTTGTTTAATAAGTAGGTCTATGTCCACACTAAAGGAATGCATATTAACCTGTTACGAATTGCGCAGCGACAGCCCCTCATCCCATTTTTTTCGGGGGGGGGGACGAGGAGGGGGAGAGTTCTCACAAGGGCAAGGGACCGGGGAGGGGCAGTTTCCTTCCTCCCCTTGACTATGACACTGATAATGTGTCGTGGCGAGATTGTGCGTGGGGGCGAGAGAACGTGTCCCTTCTGTGTTTTCTTGGGGATGGGTCCAGATCGATAGGTTTTTATCGGAAAAATTAATCGCCAACGTGCCTAAACATGCATGTAGAGAGCACTCTCACAATAGCCCTAAGCCTCGGTATTAATTTCACGGAAATGGCAGGCATTATTTTTAAACTTATCTTTAAACTTTGAATTTTTTCCCCAACGAAAGCACGTTGCCCAAGTTACTTGGCCTTTAATACCAGCCGCTTTGGTGATTGAGCACCGGCTCACAAAACGCTTGACAAAAGATTTAATAATAACTGTTGGGCAGTGGCGTAAATTGTTGCCGACAATTGGGGAGATGGGGATGTGGGTGTGTATGGGGGGGGGGGACTTACCCAGCCAGTGGAAATTTGCAAGGGGGAGCGGTGGCAGCGTTGCTGACACAATATGGTACTAGGGGGCGCTGTTCACGATAATGTTGTACATTTTAATATGTACTGCATTCCTGTATAATCTGACACAATAACGGCACATTTGTGGCTTTTAACTGTTCTCCGCTTCTAAGCGCTACTGAATACAATTTGGCTGTTGGGAAGTCCGAAAAAGTCGTCACAACCCGGCCTTAATTTTTTTCCAAAACGGAAAGTGTAGGGGCACGATCAATGATAATGATCCACCCCCCGGTCAATCCCCATCCGGATTTACGCCTATGGTGGTGAGTATAACCTGTCACCATGAAATCCTAAATAACCAAATCGTGGAAATAGTTCATGTGCATACTCCTTTGGAACGAACACTCTGCAGCTGTTTGCGTGATTCTCTAAAAGTGGAACAGGAACAAATTCAAATACCAATGGAAGGGGCAATCTTTCCAGTTACAAATGATCCCTGGCTCCCGGCGAAAAGCCTAAACAAACCTTTCCTGAATTCACATACAAAAACAAAACAAACTATGTCCCTTAAAATGGCCAAACACAAAAAATGAGTAAATATTACAATAACAAAATTTGCTTGGCAAATTTTAATTAAAAACCCAACACTTCCTTTTTCATAAAGTAACACTATGTCAAGCGTAAGCAATTTATTATAAAATCAATGTTCCAATAAACACCTCTCTCTTTATTATTCTCTGTAATTTGAAGCCCCAGTCCAATCCCTGACAAAAGTTTTGGTAGATTACACCAACAAGAGCATTGAAATCTGAAACCGCAAGAATGAATATCTCCTCCTTAATATAAATTCATATTTAATGAGAAGCCTAAAGATCTTTGTTGAAATAAATCAAAAACTCCTATAATTCATTTATAAAAATTGTGCTTTTGAAAATCCCCTCAGTTTGAAAGTCAAACCTGGGTAGTTATGTAACATATGGCCTACCTGACTGAATACGTAAGTTTTGACAATTTCAAATACCTGCCAATGTAAAAACCAATTCCCTCCATACAGAATATGCTGTAAATAGATAACGAATGCTTGTGTTGTCATGTCATCTTTTTATCTGATTACAGTTTCTGGAAATATCACAGTAAATACTTATTCTATATCCCCTGTTGAATCCCAGCATCACCAATTGTTTAATACCATCACCAATATTAGTTTATATCTTCCAAAAATTTAAACAGATAACAATGGTCGGATAAAAAAAATGATCTAAATCTGGCTTCAATGCAATACAATGTATAAATCTCGTTACACACAACTTATTCCAATTTCTCCCAAAGAGAATTTCTCATAACTCAAAACACAAGGAATAAGGCATTCACAGGTTTTTCCATAACCTACAATTAAGAGTTTATAAAACTGTAAATAGTGTTCAATTGATGTTTCCTAGAAACTAATACTACCTTTGGATGATTTGTAAGGAAGATTTTAATCTAAATGGGGATTGGTTATGAAAAAACTTGCAATTATCTACAAAAGTGAAAACTCTTATAGAGATGATATAATGGCACCTACACAATCGGCTACACTTTCACACTTTTCACAAATTTTTGTTGTACAATTAACAGCAATCTCCATGCGATAAAAACCTACAAAATTGATACAAGTACATGTACTACCTGTCAAGGTGCAGCATCAAATGTTGCTGCCACCAATATAATCATTTACAAAATATGCAAATGATTATGCAAATTACAGGCACTTGAGGCACTTCAAATGAATGAAATGTCTTTGCAATGATTTAGAGCAATTATTACTTTAAAATAAATTTTCATAGTCTAATGAAAAAAGTTTACCTTTGAATTCTGGAATTCTTCCAGTGCAGGCAGCACATACTACATCTAATATATAAATATAGTAACATTAAATTGCAGGTACATGTACAATCAACTTGTACAAAAATAGCTCATTCTGGCAATATCTTGATACATGTAACTTGATGCGTATGTTTTAAATTATGATAAACTAATACAAATGATAAACGAGAACAAAGGATCGCATTGCTTTCTCCTAATACCTTGCAAAAATGTGCGTAATACAACACTGACTGGATGCAAAATCACACCTATTAACAACTACGGTTGCCAGCCAACCAAAATGGTGCTTGTCTCAACCATGAACACATTTCATGCAATTGCAGAAACTAATACAATGCACACTAGTTTTCAATCACACCACAAATTGATAGTTTCTCATATCTGGTACACATACATGGGATAAAAACATGCACTGGTGGTGCACTTAACATGCAAGACATGGAAGATTGTGGTGCAGATATGACTGGTGACACCATGAGATTTGGCGAGATTGTTTCTTGGATAATGTGAATTAATTGGTCTAAACTGGCGATGAGAAGTTTGTTACAGCAAATGTGGAATCACTTACAACACTTCCACACCACATACATGTCAAGATAACTCACCACATGTACATGTATTAGGAATTCAATGAGAAAGACTCCCAGCCTCCTTTCATATCTGACCTACATTTACGACAGATGCACCATATTGATTTCATAATTTTCTTGCAAAGTTATGAAATCTCATCATTTATCTTTTTAAAAGTGGCATCCTCTAACAAATCCACGAACTGTCGATCAATTAATTTATAAAACAAACCAGTTTCCACAATTTAAGACTACAAAAAACATGCAAAGTTTGAATAAAACTGAACAATGCCAAGTTTCCTAGTGGGAAGTCCACCTCTAAATGAGGTGGCGGTGGTATTTAAACACTGTCTGAAGGAAATCAATCAAATTATTGAAAGCTGAACCCACTTATTATTGTCACAAACCCCTCCCCCATTAACATTAAAACTAATACAACAATGTGAAATACATGGAATGCACTTCCCATTTTTGTTACATCTGCATTTATTTATTTAGTTATATCTGATCATCATTTAACGCCAATTACAGGATGATAATGAATGAAGAATTGTTCAGTTTTAGAGGTGGAAGGAAAACCCCAGAGAAATGTTTTGGGGAAAACCCACAAAGTCAGCTGGATTCGAACCAAAGCCCCAAGAGGTGGAAGGCGAAGAAAGAAACACTGCACCAACCTGACTCCCAAATGAAACGTTAGGTGGAGATTTTTTTGGTGGTTCATTTTGCCAGTCTACAGTAAGTGTCCCACACATTCATCACTATAGGATCTTGTCAAATCCAAATAAGCATGTTCCTGTAGTCTTGAGTAAATTTTGTACCTTATTTCATAGCTGTTTCATTTAGAAATACATTGTAAACTAAAATAATAGGCTTGGTGAAAGTTGGACCATATCACAGCAATCAGTAGAGATATTTTCCATCAAGAACATGTTATCAATGATCCACCAATTCCCTGACAGGGATTTATGCACGTGTTGTATAATACATGTACTTGCTGAGGACTTGTGACTGGAATCAATTGCTATGCAGGTACATGTATCCGTATGGAAGCATTCCAATTAATCTTTTTGAAATTTCCAATGCATGTTAAGACTTCCATTATAAGTTCATCTGTGAAATTCAATTCACTCTGACACAATGTTCATTGTTGTGGTCTTCCAAGGTTCATGCTTTTACCCATGTCAATTCAAACACTAAACACGTTTAGTTGGGAAAGTTAGCATTTCTTGAAAACAGTGCATCCAATTTTCACAAAGTCTGCTGACAGACAACCATTTTGAAGGAAAGGGTGGTTCTATTTTAATGATTACATTCCTTCCCACCATTCCACACATTTAAAAACAGCTTGATCATTTAAGAGTTAGGACATATTTGCAATCTGCTTGCTGAAAGTCACTGACCTAACTTAAACTAGGGGTGCTAGTTGAATAGGAGCACACAGCCTCGTTTCAGTTGCTCAAAGCAGACAAACATGGCAATGTTCCAGGAACCAAGGCGTACAAAATTTGGCATGAATCTGGGGAGCAGAAGATGAGGAAAAAAACAATTTCAGCAGGTAAATAATGTTTGTGAAAATGATGAAAAATGGATGACCCTATAAGCTCATGTAGCTCCAAGTAGAACAATGAGCTACATTAACAGCTTGTTTCAGTTTTTGTGAACCGTGTGCCTGAAGCAAATTTCCCCTTACCTTTTTCTTTAACAACTTCAACAAAAACCTCAACTGTATCAATGACAATCTGAGAGCCTGAAATTTGTCTTTTTCCCCTTTGATTTCTCCTTTGTGGCTCTTTCTTTACTTTGGCACTCTTTCTAATGACTTCCACAGAACGACTGTAAAAAATCGGAATTACTTATAACTTTGTATACCATCAGAAAGTTTTTTTGCTCTCTTAACCCTAACCCTCCTCAATCCTCCAACAGGTGAAGGATTCAGGAGGGTTAGGGTTAAATTAACTTTAAGTTTAGTAGGCGTCCGTGAAATTTGAGAAAATAAAAATCACCAAAATCTGTGCAGAGCCAAGTGACATTCCACCTTACCCTTTATAGAACGCCATGGGACCACCTTCCCTGAACATCTTGACTGCAACATCAATGGCCCCTTTGTACTGGCCTGGTGGGGAGTTCATGTACCTGGTTTTGACCACATCAACAGGAGAGGCAACACACGTAGTGACAAACCCAGCACCGAATGCTGAGAGGAAGTGGCAGGGGAACATGTCAGCTAGGAGTCCAGTCCGCAGAATCCGCTCTTTGATCATGTCATAGGCCACTAACTCACTAGCGTTGACTATGGCATTCCGTGCAATATTGGGAAATGTGCCTTTGAAAACCACGTAGAGAGAAAATGATTTACTAACAATAGTGACTTTTGTTAAGAGTGAACATGTTTAAACACAGTAGCACGTGTGCTGCACTCCATGCTTTACAAATCCTTACAACACCAAAAAAAAATAAATGTATCCTACAGTTCATTTTAACTGAAATAAATGAAAGTAGCTGATTGACAATATGATGACCTCATGGAAGTCCACGAATATCAAGAATGTTGTTAATATGCTTGTCCCTTTGTGTCTGTATACTCAAAAGGTTATTCAGTAATGAAAGTAGCAGCATTGTTCTTGAAAGAGCAAATGCAGTGACAATGTGCATGTAACTGATAAGAAGACAAACATAGGCATACAATACATGTACATGTAAATCAGGCAGTGGAGAACATATCCCTCGTTATGGCAAGGGGGTATGGGCCAAATGATCACATCCTCCCACACAAACACATTTCAGTAACGTAAAACTGAAATTGTTAGTTCAGGTAACTTTGAACTAGCCCAAGACCAGTTTGTCCAGAATACTGTTTCCACACAAGATTAGGGCAAACAGACCGTACGTCACAGTACATCTTTATCATGAACAGCGCCCTCTAGTTAATGGGGTGCCCCCCCTTCTCCCCTCACCTCCTATTTTTGTGCCATCTCCCATCAAAGCACTCGCCAGCATGGATTTACACCACTAAACACGTGTCCACTCAGTATTGACGAAGTCAATCATACATGTAGACCACTGATGGACTAGTGATTAGTTGACAACATGCCATGTGCCTGCATACTAGTGACTGTGATAGTCATATGGTCAGCAGTCATCATGGCTTTGTTTGTAGCCACAATGGTAGGGGATATGAGTATCATGGCATGTTGTGCTATGATACTCATACTAAATGTGCCAGCTAAATTTCCAAAGCGTGAAAACAAAGGACTGTACAGAAGTAGTTACGATAATTACTCTTTGGCTATATGGTCAAATTATGCATCATGATGGGTCGATCAACAGTCTGATGACTTCTCACCTTTCCATAGACCCTTGACACCTTCAGTCTGAGCTATTGTCTTGTATGCATGCATGGCTCCTGTGTAGCGCTTTGGTTTGGTGGGGTCAATGTTATTCTGTGCTTGCATGCGTACTTTCACCACGTCTGTTGGCTGAGCCAACGTCACTGCCAGTGCCCCTGTTGTGATACCGGCCAAGATTCTTGTCACAATGTTCATTCCCAAGTAACCTTTAAAAGAAATCAAGTTTGAAATTATTGATATTAACGTTAATATTTAATACAGGCATAAGTACAACAGCTTGTACTAACATCCAAAATAATTTATTTGAAAAGATGTGCCAATGATATGTACCCAACCTAACAGAAATCTTGGCACATACATGTAAGTGAAAAAACACACGGTGGTTAGGGGAAAAATTCAAAAAATTAAAATATTGTTTTCCAAAATTAACCAGGCTGAGCATAAAGAGATATCCTACTAGATTGGTGCACTACATATGTCATTTTTTTGTCTAAATATGTATGTAGATAGGCCTTAAATTGTCAAAACTGTAATGCAATGAAAATGTACCTGTAGAGCAAGTCATGTCATGACAAGTAGCTCAACATGTTCCAGGTTATTCCATGCCAAATCAACTTCAGGTTAATATTGATTGAATCAGATTTGAATGAAACTTTTTTTAACTTTCAAGTCTAAAAAATGCAGAGTATTTGGGTCATTCTATAAGTTCTATCACTGCTGATATATGATTTTGTAAACTCAGAACAGATTCTGTGATTTCAAGAATGATAAAGTAACTATCTGCCAAACAAATTAAACATCTTTTGAAGTTGATTTTAATTGTAATTCCTTGTCAAATTAAAGAGGTCAAGTGAATCAGATACACAAAAATGTCTCATGTTTTGGACCTGATTTCTATAAGGGTAATTCCAGAAATTAAGGGGTCCATTTTTTGTGTCCCTGTCACATCTGACATGTGATTTTGTAAGTTCAGAATACATTTCTGAGTTTCAAGAGTGATGAATTAATAGAAATTACCTGCCAAATAAATAGTGATAGTCCGAAATCAATTCCAAGGATATTTCCATGTCCAATAACAAAGGTCTGATGTAACAGGGACACGAAAATGTCACACTTTTGGATCCCTAATTTCTGGAATTACCTATAATGGCCAACAATTTAAGGAAAGGGTTTTCAAAACTCATGAATACTACATCAAAACAGGTTTATCAAATCCTTCATCACTGCCATCATGCACTCTCTTCTGCTAATGATGAATTCTTCCACTAAATCAGTTGTAACATTTAACTCCTATAGTTCACACAAAATATCACAGATGTTCACTAAAAATATGAGCATACACATACAGAATTATAATGTCTCAATGAAAGAGCTGCCTCTCACACTCTCACAAGGTATGCGAATTGCTGTGAACATTAAGCGTATACATGTACATGTAGAAAAGCTGACATTTTATGCAGCAGTGAATTTTGAAATGTTCTCAAGAACATGCAAATTAAGCCAAGGGTATGTTCCAAGCAATTCAGAGGTGATAAATGGCAATGCTCCAAAGATTTCAATGGATGACCTTGCTTAAATCTTTTCAATTAACAGGTCAGATTGTTGCCATTGTAATCCCTTCAATTTTGGAAAAAAAGATGGCTGGTGCTTTGTTACATGTAAGTAAAGACTGTGTAACTTGGCATTTCATTGTGATGCAGTTGCTATGATCAACAATTGAAGCGATGTGTTGCAAGTCAAGCACAATGATGACAGAGAAAAAGGACAAGAATAAACCCACCATGACTACCGTAGAGACTACCTGTGTACACCTGTTTCACTGAATCATACAGTCCGATTCGGACAGAGGCAAAACACATCTGGCGTTGGAGGCCGGGCACCAGACCATTGTACAGACTGCGAGGCCCTTCCTGCCGGATGATGGTGGTGATGGTTCCAAAGATGCCACGATACTGGAATTTTGCTTTCTCCTCTCTTGCTTTGGAAAAGGAGAATGAATTCTTCTGGGCTGAGGCACTCTCACCTTGAATCTTTTTTTTGTAACAATGAGAAAACCATACAAAAAATGTATCAACTGGTACAACACTGCTAAGGCTAAGAATATCAGTTCAACTCCCATCACACTCACACATGATCTTGCTACATCCTCAAAAACATTTGGGAGAGCATGGCCAATCATGGTGAGATCTTGTACATCTCAGTGTAGCAGTCTGGTTCCCCTGCCAAGGTTGTGCAGAGGGTGGAGGCCCATTTGCCAATAAAGCAGGATTTGGAAACTCAGACACAAAACAAACAGCAGGGCAGGCACAAGACTTGGGTACTTTACATGGGCTGGATTCCCTTTAATTCACTGTCAAAATAATTGTTGAGAAGAAACCTCTGGGACAATATGTGTAAAACGCTGATAACTGTGTGATACCCAACAAAGCCTTTGCCATGATCTATCCACACATTTGTCTAGCTGCAGTTTGCTGAAAAAACCTCGACAGCCCACCAAACTTCTTCAGTCCTGCCAAAAAGTATAACAATGTAGGCTACTTCCAGCTGACAGGCATGACATTTAGAAAGTACATGTACATCGTAAGTGTGCAGGTGCATATGGTTCAAAGGTCACATTGTAATTTGCTGATATAACTGGGGAATTCCAAGACTCCCACATTAGTAAGAACTCTGTGGGAACTAAAAGCAACATGGTAGGGTCTTCATGGACACTTAGGCAATTTATCAGCTGCAAGCACCAATTGAATACAAGTAGGGTATATGTACAATGTATGTACATGTGTGCAGTCTACTCACAAAAGCAGCGTCTTCAATGACATGTTACATGTACCAAACATGGGAGGAAGAACCACACCAAATATCTCTCTCCACATTCAAGCATTACGTCTATTTGAAAACCAAAATCACAAGACTTCACAGTTCTCACCTGTAGTCTTACTTTGGCTGTATCCAAGGGGAATGTAGCTGCATCGGCAATACATGCTGCCAATCCTGCACTGATGAACTTCATGCCCAGAGTGGGTGGTATCTCAGTGGGTTTAAATCCCACCATTTTGAATCAGGAATTATATACTGTTCCTTCCAAAAATCCTATGTCTTCTTTTAATTTCACAAACTTAGAAATTTGGATTATATATTCAACAGCTCACTTCATTATAAAAACAAAGAATTCATGTATGTCAGAAAAGACCACAAGCAAGGTATGTTTTCCTTGTAATGTGAGGCCAGAAATGTTAAAAAGCAATTTTTCTGACACAAGAAATATTATCACTACAATTTTTTTAGGTCCAGAACTTTGGTATTGCACAGATTTCAGGCTTTTTCCATGGCCCTGCAGAAGACAAAGACAAAAAAAGTATGCAAAGTTTGTTCACATATGAGTAATTCCAGAAATTAGGGGTCCATCTTTTTTATGTCCCTGTCACATCTGACATACTGGAGGTATGATTTTGTAATTTCAGAACACATTTTCTAATTTCCAAGAGCCATGAATTAATGCAAATTGCCTGTCAAACAAATAGTAATAGTTTGAAATCAAGTCCGGTGATATTTCCATGTCAAATAACAAAGGTCAGATTTAACAGGGACACGAAAATGTCACACTTTTGGACCCCTAATTTCTGGAATTACCCACGTGAGTATTCATTATCATGCATACGAATACCCAAATACAAGTATATTTACTATTTCTAGGGATGCTGTGTTGGAAAAAAATCCACAAATTTAGTAAAAAAATTAAGATGATGAATTGCATCCAAAAAGAGAAAAATTATATAAAAGGAAAATGTACAAAGTGCAAAAGGTTACATGAAATATGACTTAAAATATTTAGACAAGAAATTACACATAATGAAATACAAACAACAACTATTCATGCAACATTTTGTTGCCACATACCTAAAATACAAAAGAAAACTTGTATGTACAGAGGTATGCTGTATCCCTGATGATGAGTGTAATTCAGCTCACTGTTGATTGGTCTCTTGGAAATTACTGCCAGAATTCCGTGACCTTTTATCACTTTGTAGTCTAGTGTTCATCTGTTCAGATTTCTTGCAGTAATTTAGCTGTTTCCTCCTCCTTGCCATTGGAGTTGCACTCATATCTCTCACCAAGCTTGGCCAATGATCAATCTGAACATGGAGGAAGGAACACGATCTTGTAGTGTTAAAATGATACCCTATTCATTACTGGCCAAGCACTGGCAGACACCATGATGGGCTGCTTCTCTCCTCAATCTACAACAAAAGCTGGCACCACAGGGGCTCATAACTTTCCTTCTCATGCAAATGGAGTTGTTTAAATTCTTTGTGCTTGTCATAACATACCTTACTACACATGAACCCATTCCATAATGTTAACATACATGTATGTACAGTATGTCTGCTGCTCAATTCAATTCTTCCCAAGCCACTGACAGACAAAATGCATTACATGTACATGGCTTAATCAACAACATTTCACCTAGGAAAATAGAAATCATATACCTACCAGTACATGTACATGTAACAGTACTCACATTATACTTGTCTGGTGCACTGAGGCAATGTACGATCGTAGAGCAATTAGAATAGAAACAGACCAGAAACAACCTGTCCTTTTTGTTGCTACTGTCGTTGACAGGTGGCAAGACTCCCCCCTCCCCTCGACCCCAGGTCAAGATTGCATCAGCTGTGCTGCTGACTGTGCAGAGAGTCACCCTGGTAATGTAACACTGCACTGTACATTGTACATGTGCATGTATCAAGTTGAAGTGCGTGAACCTATGGTACACACGTATGTAATGGTATTGTTCTGAATCCTCTCATTACATTACAATCTTCAGGGTGATACAAACATGTGATGTTCTTACTTGCAGGTCGCAGCCCTTGATACAGGAGCTTTGTCTTTATAATGTAGCACACTTTCAACAAAACACACCGGTACATCCTCAGCTCTACAGTTACTGTGTTTTTTAGAGAATCACATTTCTGTTGTAGTGCTATGGAAGCAGAGTGGGATAGAACAGGAGTTTCTTGAGCCTGATAAATTTTTGTTCTGCTTATTTTTTAATCAAATCCTTCTTTATGTCCAATGATTTTATTTTTTTCTATGTTCCTTGGCTCTGGAGGATGTATTTTTTAAGGGCTTGTCCAGGGAAGATCAGTAATAACTAATAACAGCTGGTTCATACTTGGTGTAAAAGTGAACACAATAATGTGGATTTGTGACATCAAGTCAAATATTCGCACAGCAAAGTCGCAAAAGTTGAAAATACTTAACTTGAGCGAAATTTGGCTGCAAATCTTTCACGACGTCAAATTTGCTTCACTTTCACAATTGTCTGTAGTATGAAGCACATACAAAAAGCTGACCACCTCAGCATCATGATGCAGGGAGCTCCAGTATTAACGTAAACACAACTGGCACTGTTGAAACTAAAATCTGATCTGTTGGCATTATCAACATTAGGGGACTAACATGGTGAACAATTTGTTTCTTTGATTTCACAGATTAGCCCCCAAAAAGACTCCGGTTTCTGGTCACGGGCTTGCTCCAAAAGTGGTGCGGTGAGGCAGCCTTTTTTTTCCTTAGAAGTGATGTACATGTACGTATACATGTATTTTAAAGCACATGGCCTTCTTACTACGAGAAGTGTGAATTAAAAACTTTGAATTAATAAAATGATCATAAAATATGACGAGAGGCGATGTTTCAGTCATCTCACTCAAACGAAGCTTCTATTCTTGGCAAGATTGAGCTTGTTAAAAATACAGTAGCACAACCATGGAAAAATAATATGTGAAAAATAAATATTCTGCTCCAGTTTTCAGTTTTAAATGAAATTCTCATGACTTGACATTCTTTGCACATAGTTTTCTGCTTTAGCTTAGAGGAAACAAGTTGCACGTCAAAGAGCCTATGAAAAAATAAATCAAAACAGTTCAGCTCCAGGGTCAGAATGAAAAAAAACTTCTCATGAGGTACATGTACATGTATGTGATGTCCTGTGCGCAATGTTTTCTGTTTAGCTTATAAGAAATAAGTTGCATATAAAATATCGGGGAAAAAATTCAGCTCAGAAAATAAGATCTCCTCTCACTCTTATCTAACTTTGTTCTTGGCAAGTGACGATGCATGAGTTGTTACATGTATTGTCGTAAAGCGATGTCCATCGCCACTGCATGCACTGCATGTGTATGTACCGACACTGAAATAGACTGGCCCACCCATAGACTGCACCTCGTTTGTCTGGTTCAGAGACGTGGGCCCGGGTTTGAATCAATTGGCTACGGCCGGAATTACACCGAGTATTTGGCAGCATCCACAGTTAGTTCCCATAGAATCATGCAATATCGAGCCACAGCCAATTGATTCCGACATGGCCTTGGTATAAAGATATAAAGATACACGAATGACGTCATCTGTTAAGAGTGCCCGATTGAAATGTATGGAGGCCTAGGAGATTCCTTAACCGTACATATTACTCAACCCCACCCATTGAAAACACGTTAAAATTTCGCGGTAGCAGAAATCTTGCTGCTCAACTGAATTTGGGTGCTTTTGGAAATCATTTCATGCCAAATAAAAAATTCTTTATATTGCCGACGTGCGCGGTGACCAGAAACCGGAGACTTTTGGGGGGGCCTTGTAGACAGTGAGCAAATGTACATATAACACATAATTGTTTGCAATAAGCACCATTTCGGTAAATCTTTAAACATTGTGTCTTTACATCTATACCAGTAGCATGGCATCATCATGATAGTGTCTTGACACAGCTTTAATTGATGGCAAAAAGTGCATTGCAATCATTTCATGCTTTACATCAGTACATTGCAATATATTGCATGTACACGTACATGTACATGTAAAGCTCATGGCATGACACATTCAAATGCAAGAAACTCCATTCATGTATCCAGGAATTGTCAGTCTTTAATGCATTCATGTATATTCATAAATACGGTGTACTTAGGACAGTTTTTCCATTCCTATTGGTCGAAACACATTACGTGACCATGTATTAACATGACATACTGTACGTTTGCGGAGAAATGATATAATGCCTGCCATGTAAATCATGCGCTAGTACATGGATACGAAACAGGTTTGATTAGGCCTGATTGGTCAGGAGTCTGTGCGCACACGATGCAACACGTGCATGTCAAGTTCTTTGAAGGGGATTCTATTGGACAACTTTCAATAGGAATATACCATAAAACGGATGGGGTGTTCGGGAAAATGATAGTAATATTTTACAACAAAATTGCGGGAAATCCATCATGTGTTGACCTCTTTTGACTCTCAGAGTAAAAAGGTATTAATGAATGGGAATAAATATAATAAATGTGCTTGGCTGGTCTTAAACTAACGTTTAAAATAATGTTTTAGACCTTGCTCAGGAGAACAAACACTGGTAATGCCCTTGCCTGTGGCTCAGGCATTAGTCGTGTCCATTCTCCTAAGACTGGCCAAGTACATACATGTATCTATTCCCTTATCAATACAGATGATCAGAAAATGCTTTGTACATACACATGTGTACCTGCAAATGATGTCATGGTTATGACTTGATGGTGTTGGTAGTGTGTTAACTGAGGCCTGGCACTTTTCTTGCAGCTGTTGATGATTTCCAAGTCAGCATGTCAGGGAAGAATTTGATGAGTTCCGCTTAAATTTGTTGATGAGTTTCTCACCCTATCTTGCTCTTACTGGCATGCACACTGCATAGTTTCATTTTAAAGTAAAACTATGACAGGTGCCCTCACTACCTTGATACAGTGTCAAAAAATAGCAAACTAAAATTGCACGTACATGTATATATACAAAGGTTCACTGTTCAGAGCTTTTTTCTGTATCGGTAAAAGTTTCTTTTGCCAAGAAGTTCAAGAGCAAGTTAAGGGGGAAAAATTGTTCCCATAACATTTCTGGTTCCCACAACATATGCATATAGGTTTCAACAAGATCCCCACAACTATGGAATAAGTATTGGACTAGACACTTTTTTGCTTTATTTCAAAATGGATGGGGAGAGTTGTGTTTTTGTATTTTGTTTTGTTACCTTAAGTCTAAGTTGCATTTATAGCCTGTAAGTCTGTTATAGAGAAAAACCATTTACAGATCAAAATTGAGATAGAAATGAATACTCCTTTGTTGTATATACTAATATATGAATGTAAAATGAGAACCCTTTGGTATTCCAACAATAACAACCCTTTAAAAATTGTTGCTGTACAATTGATTTGAATAATCTTATTTCAGACCACCAATAACATCTGTGGCAGTCAAGGAAGATTACATGTATGTGCATGGAAGTGAAGTGTCTTGGCTGAGTATGGGGAATAGATTAATGATGCCACTGCAGGAGATGTTGGGCTGCATCTAATCCTCCACACAAGCAGATCTCTGTAAGCAAATATGACAGTCTACTATCACTGTTACCTACATGCCTTCCAATATGTAACCCATGTGCAGTTGACAAAAGATTAAAAGTACAGCCCATTGAAAGTAATTGGCTCAATCAAAATGGCAGGTGCAATAAACAGCTATGCTGACTGTGTGTTGTACTTATGCAGTATGCTGTACAATACTTAGCTATGTGAACATTTATCAAATATCATGACACAAATAGCGTTATTGGTGTCTGTTTGGTTTCTTAGGATGAATTTTCAACTTACAGGAAATACAGAGAAAATGATTTTATAAACCACCAGCTGTCATTTATTGTGTCTTGTTGCAGACAGGGACAAAAAGATAAAATGTACATGTATACATGTACCTGAACGATGTGCTGCACATACATATGTATACATACATACATGTACCACGTTGCTAATCATGCGTGGTACTTGATTACATGTACCGGTATGTTTGGAAATCCAAATGCACAGAACTTTTTTGAAATTGCACAGCTGTGTTTAACATTTGCACAGGTAAACTGTATACATATTCAACATGTACGTGTACATTTTGTTGGAATCACATGTATCAGCAGACGGTCTAGCTACTCACATACATGTATACAGTGCTGAAGTTAGTGCTGGTATGAGAAAAAAATCCATTGTGGGATTTTCGTGCCTTCAGTTGGCTTTGGTAACATTTTTTATACATCCAACTTGGTTCCATTTGGGAATAACATATTGGCCTGTATGAAAACCACTAGCTAGCTACAGCTGCAACTGGTCATCATTACCCATTTAATTCACATACTGTAGGTCTACATTATACATGTACATGTACTGTAGCTCCTCCCACAGGATTGCTAGGGCTGCCAAGCAATATCTGAGGGGATTTATCAAGTACAATATGGGGAAATGACAGGAATGCAGAAATGCACCAATTTTCAATGCTCTTTAGAACACAGTTGGTAATGGAAAGAACTTTCATGCTTGATGAAACCTTGCATGTTTGCACCCAGAAAGTATTTTAGAGAAAAAATAGAGTTGAGATTTCAAGTTCAAGTCCAAGTGTAAGAGGTCAAAATCCAAACCGTTCGTTATCACAACTTGGACTTTTGAGCCATATCATGGTCAAATGATCCTATGCTAGACAATGAATATTATCTGGTGGCCATCTAGTCCAGTTTGCCATCCATGGCTTCCTAAGAACTAATGATATGTGTGCATGGACCATGAACCTGTACAACCTCTGGTGTTCGCTACAATGTAATGACCTTTCCTTGTACAGACCCTATCAAGTGTACAGTCAACATTTCCTGAGATACAAAGCTGGTCTTACATTCATTGGGCCATATTTCCAGGTTTTAACCTGGCATGTCAGGCACCCCACGTTTGCTCTTTTTATACTGAACATCAAGTTCACCCCTTTTAAGTTGTAAGCCAATGACATGCAGACTAGATTGACCCAAATGACTTTATCACCCTATGGCCTGTCCTCACAATCTTTCCAAGCTGTTATCCAGAGGGAAGAATTCCAACTGGACCATCACAATTTTCGAGTGTCATACACATCACCAAGTTTTGAACCCTACTTTTTCAACCTTCCCACTGGGAAGGCACTACTCAACAACAACTCATTAACCCTAACAGTCCTGAATCCTCCAATTTTAATATGATTTTGCACACACCCTAGGGAGTTAGGGTTAAACTCAACAGGTGCTACTTTTTAAACTTGCTGACGTCCATGTTGCATTTGGAAATTGAGATCAAGCCTTTTTCCTCTGTGGTTGATGCCATGTTACGACTATTATTGTTCTTTCATCACATTGAATTCAAATGACAGTATTTCCCTCAAAACATGC